TACCCCAACCCAATACCAATTATCACTATAAAAGCTTCCTTCTGGGGGTTCTTTATTATGATTTTTTTCTAAAAGCCCTTGAAAAGGTAGGTTCTTACGGGTCCAGGATGATATGGTCTTCAAGGGGCTTCGGTATGATGGGATGGGCCTTTATGACAGTTCTGCAAGCCTCCTACAGGCCGTGAGCAACCATGGAAGCCGGAGCGAAAATTCAGCGAATTAAGTAATCGATTGTAGAATGAGATGTCCTCGATGCTTGACAATGCTTAGGAACCCAAGTGACTCTACTTCTCAGTGCCAGCCCGACAAGCCCGCAACCTCTGTGCCCACGGCATCGCTGTCGTGTGTGGTGAAGCAGTCTGCTGCACCTGAGTGGGTCAATATGAGTTTTTTCTGCTTTGATTATAGATATATAGGAGCTGGAAGGAAAGAGCACCTTCTAAGTTGTTTTTGTTCGTGGTACAAGCTCTGTTTCGGGACAAGTGTGTTCGCTTCACTACATAAACATCTTGCGATGTCACTCATCAGTAAGGCACAGTCCAGACCTGATCTTGCAATGCAGAAGCTGGCTGTTGAAATGGACCCGTCTGTCATTGACTGGGAGACACTGAAACCCTTTGGCCTGCTGAATCGTCTTATGAACCTACAGCCACGCGAGCCAACTAGTGGCCGCAAGCTGGGGCACTGCCTGCAACAGGTAACATCATTTCGGGAAGTGATGGGTATCAGTGTTTGTGTTTTCAAAATAGGGGTAACTTCCAACCCCATGGTAAGGTATGTGGACTACTTGCAAAAGAACTTTACAGCCATGTGGGTTATCTTTGTTGGCACCAGTGTGAAAGAAGTTCATATGTTGGAAGCCGCTCTAGTACATATGTTTCACTCCTGCACAGGATGCCAGAATGCTGCTGGTACTGGTGGAGAGGGTGCACTCAACAAGTGCTCTGCTACGCCACCGTACTATGCCTATGTAACAGGGGGAAGGGCAGACCAAAACTGCAGAGTAGGGTGACCGGATTCAAAAGAATCTGTTTACATCAAGGGGGTTGCAAGAAGAAACAAAGTGCGCCATGTTTCCATGCCGTAACAATTGCTGGATCTGATGGCAGGCATACATGAGCAGCATGAGCATCACTTCTCTCCTCCAGCAAACAAGCTGTCTCCCTCCCAAACCTCCTGAGAACTTAATTTGTCATGGCCATTGCTTTGCCGAGGCCCCTTGCAGCCACATCGTGGAGGTGGCCCAAGGAGCCGTGCATGATTCGGAAAGGCTACGGCAAAGCTTGCCTTTAGCCCTTCGGGAGTTGTCACAGATCCGTGCTGGTGATGCTGAAGAGGCATGCCACAAGCTTTTTCGTAAGTATGGGTTGACCATGCCAGTGGACATTGAATCAATCAACGCTGGCCCGCAAGAGCTTTCCAGGTTGCCTATTGTCAAGATTTCCTCTTACGTGAGGTACCTGCTTGATTTTGACAAGCTAGATTGCTTGGTTGGTGTTGGGGAAAATGAGATGGAGCCTTTGCTCACGGAGTTCTGGGCCCGCTACAAAAAGTTGCATCCTGAGCATCAGCTGTTCGTATTGGCTGACAATGGAGAAGTTGTTTTGAGCCGCACGATACCGCTCTTTGGACATGCTGACGAAGGCCGTACATACAAGAGCAAAGCTCTGCTGGTGCTGAGCGTTCACGGCTGCCTGGGCAAAGGGACCAGGCCCTACAACAAAAAGCATGTAAGGAAGCTTCATCTGAAGGATGATCCGATGCCCTTGAACTATGTGGGATCCACTTGGTCTACGCATTTCACCTTCGCCAGCTTGCTACGTGCATCCATGAACAAGCACCCCAGCTCATTGGATGCATTGATGGGGAGCTTCAGTGCAGATCTGCACTTCTGTTCCACAACTGGCATTGCTGCCTCAAATGGGCAGCGCAAGGTATGGGTGCAGGTCATCGGACTCAAAGGTGACTTACCGGCCCTTTCGAAAGTTGGAGGCTTCGAAAGGTCGTTTGCAAGAGTTCCCAAGAAAGCAGTGTCCAAGAAGCTATGCCCCGGCATATGTTGGTTGTGTATGGCGGGGGCTGAACACCCCCAACACGTGGCGTTCGAAGACTTTTCGGAGCAAGCTGCCTGGAAACGCACGATGTTTCAGGAGCGACCTTGGGTGGATGACCCTGCGATCATCCAAGGTGTGGCGCTGGAGCCGAGCCAACCTGAAGCCTGGTTCTTGACAGATCTGTGGCATAACTTCCACAACGGCCTGGCCAAGTATTGGGTGGCTAATGCCCTGGTCATGTTCTTGTACACTCCTGGCATGGTGCCTGCTCGCTCTGTGGAAGCAAGACTTGCATGGCTGTCAAATGATTTTTTGGCATTCTGCAATCGCAAGAAAATCCTCCCCTTCCTTCGAGAGTTCACTCGGGACAACCTCTCCTTGGACTCCTTCCACAGCTACCCCCAGGGTCTTTGGTCGAAGGCTGTTGTCTCCACCCAGACCATGCATTACGTCGAGGACTTCTGTGAAAGGTTCATTCGAGGCAAGACTGAGGACCAGATCCTGAAGGATATCGTGCCTTGACACAAGTTTTTCCTTGAAGCCTGTACACCCTGCGAGTTTCCAGGCTCCTATTGAACCTAGATAGGGGTTCAATCGATCCTTCTTTTGACTTTGTTGCATTAGAAACCCTTTGTTAGGTTTTGTATATGTTGGGAGTGTACTGACTTAATTGATTATTGATAGATTCTGGAACCTTTTTGGTTGCAAGTGTCCTTGCAGTTTCCTGTGGCACACCCATTGATCGATGGCATATAAGGATACAGGCACCACCCTCGCCAACACCTTCTTGGCCTCCCTTTATGAATCAGGGTTTTGGATTGCGAAAGGGCCGGGGCTTGCCTTGGCCGGAATGCTGAGAGGCTTCTTGCTGCTGTACCAGCGATGTGCTTGTGAATCGGTTCGAAGACAAATCAACCGGTTTCCACTTGTTCCCAAAGCTCACATGCTCAGTCATTGTGCGGAGCAAATGTTTGATGAAGCTGCTCGGAGCGACTGGATCATGAATCCGATTGCGACTGGGAATCAGCAGCAGGAAGATTATATTGGACGACCCTGCAGACTGAGCAGGAGGGTCCATGCTAGGCAGCTACACCTTAGAGTGATGCAAAGGTCCCTGTTGGCAGGGTACCAGTCGCTCTTCCCGAACGGGTGAATGTGTGCAAGGGCTACCATGAGTATGTAGCCAAGGAAGCATGCATCATGAGCTATATATATATAGCATCATGAGCATTTCCCTTTTAATCCTGGGGGCTTCTGTGTCTGGGAAACCTACTTTGAGTTCTGTGTTTGTAGGGTTATGAAACTATTTAGTATACTAATTGAAAGCCAAGCTCTGTTTAGGACACTGTATGCATCTGAGGATGGCTTTCAAGCCAAGTAATTAATTTCGGTTGCGAGAATAGGAGTCAACCCGAACCCAAGTAATCGACACGCGCAGTCACAAAGCATATACGTTTTGTAATGACCATACACTCTAGATATACTTTACTTGTGTGTCTGAGTCTGAACATTGGCTCCCAACTGAAGTCCTTTTAACCCTGCCACACACTGCATACACATGTATGCGCACATGCAGAAATGCACATTTATGCACACAGTGTTGTCAGCTTGCATTCACATGCTGAACATACGACATACCTTGTACATGAGATTCACAAGACACATGCATGCATACGTGTATGCTCGATTTCGATAACAAAGTTTCCTACTTTACTGCCACCCCAACCTTGAACAAGCTCTTAATCAAACAAACCAAGTCCTTCATGAGCCCCTGACATTCGCCGGGTCGTGTGCACGATGATCTCGAAGTCACCGCGGAGAGAAGCAGAGGTGCAAGAAAGGGAATGAGTAGAGTAAAGGGAGGAAGATTTCGGAAGGGGGTGCCAGACTTCGATTGCATTTCATATTTCAGCTTCGAGTTTGGGGTTTCTCGCCTTACTATCTCAGGTTCAAGAAGATGAGGCTTGGTACTTCTTTCGAAATAAGTAGGATTAAACAGTACATCGCAAGTACTGACACTCTCAGAAATGCTTTGACCCGTATTCAAAGAAGTGCCCCGTACTATTTGAAGTGACCTATTTCTGCTTTAGGAATATGGGTCGGACCTAAAAAGGAAGGAAGTCCGGGGTCCAGGTAAACCCTAAACCCTAAACCCTAAGGTTTAGAGCCCAGGGTTGAGGGGTTCAGCTATCCGAAACCCTAAACCCTACACAGAACTCTCAACTCCAACGCAGAAGCCTGAATGATTAGTAACCCTAAACCCTAAACCCTAAAGCCTAAACCCTAAACCCTAAACCCTAAAGCCTAAACCCTAAACCCTAGTAATACCAGGCCCTCTGAGGAACCTCAAAAGTCCCCACAAACCTCAAACTTTCAGCTTGTTTCTCCTTTGTCCCTGACTCTTGGAACCGCAATGCCTAAACCCGCATTCCCTAAACCGCTTTTCCCTAAACCCTAGTTCGATCCAAAATCCCTAACTCTAAACTTCATCATCCCTTTATAATCCCCTCTAAGCCCTAAGCTGGTATAGATCCTATAAACCCTATAAACCCTCAAACCAAGACTCTACCTACCATCCTTATAATCCCATCAATGCCCTAGGCTGTCACAGATCCAATCCCTAAACCCTAAACTTTATCGTCCCTATCATCCCCTTGAAGCCCTAGGCTGTCATAGATCCAAACCCTAAACCCTGCAAACCCTAAAGTCTAAACTTTATCATCCCTATAATTCATCCCCTTCAGGCCCTGAGCTGTTATAGATCCCCAAAACCCTAAACCTCCTTTAAGGAATGATTTTGAGGCCCTACCTAAACCTCCTTTCAGGAATGATTTTGAGGCCCTAAACCCTCAACCCTAAACCTCCTTTGGAAGGAATGATTTTGAGGCCCTAAACCCTAAACCCTAAACCCTAAACCCTAAACCTCCTTTAAGGAATGATTTTGAGGCCTTTGTCCCCGACTCTCCTCCTCGGCTCCGCTGCGGCCGCTGCGGCCGGCGTTTCGCCGCGCCGCGCTTGGAGGACCGGGGTATTCCTGAGTTCGGTTTTTAGGGTGCCCCTTTAAGGGCTCCTCTAAAGGGTTCTTTGTCAGGGTTTGAGGTGTAGAGTTTAAGGTTTATAGGGTTAGGTTTAGGGTGTGGGATTTTGGGTTTAGGGTTTGGGTTTGGAGTCTAGAGGTTTGGGTTTAGGGTTTAGGGTTCTGGCTTGGAGTTTAGAAGTTAGGTTTCAGGGTTAGGGTTCGGGTTTTGGGTTTAGGGTTCAGGGTTTAGAGATCTGGAGTTTGAAGAGGCTTCGGGTGTGGGATTTGGGTGTGTTAGGCTCTGGGATGTAGAGCTCAGGACCTATAGGGTTTAGGGTGAGGGTTAACGTTACTCGGACGACGTCACGGGGTCCGGTCTGGGATCTTGGGCTAACTTAGGGTTCAGGGTTGAAGGTTTAGGGTTTTGCCCTCTTCTTGGCTGTCGACCACAATTTGCAAGAGTTCGAAGTCGACGCCGAGAAAGTTTTCCCCACACGCGTGATGACTGTCAAGGAAGTGTTTGAGTTCCTCATCAGGGGCATCCCCATTGCAAATCCTATGAGCAAGTTGCGGCGGCTCCACCAATTCAGCATCACACGAGGACATCCTATAGTGAGTCTCTAGTCTCTGGCCACATGTCTCGGTGCTGTTGAAGTGTGTAGGTGGCGCAGACATGTAACAAAGCACAGACATGTAACAAAGGTTCGGTTTCTCTCCGGCTCCGCTGTTACCTGATTTGTAATCCCTTCATCAATGAACCATTGCCACGGCTTTGCCCAGGCGTTTCTTGATGGCCGATACGGTTTATTTGGGGGTGGTCGACCCTTTTGTTTTGTTGGGTCTTATCTAAGCTAGAATGGGCCTGGGAATAATTAAGTCCCCAACTATTGGAGCTGTAATGTTCGGTTGGAGGCTTTTTGTCAAGTTGAAATGTATACATGGCATGCCTAGTATATAGTGAGGCATGCAGCAGCGAGGTGTTATGATGTTTGGTGTGGCAGTTCGCACTTTACAGCCGATGACGCAGCTCGTATGCTGAGCTTGTGCACGCTTCGATCTTAAACTATCCATCATCCGCTGTAGTGTCTAGCATGGAGCCTATAGTAAAGACTCGAGAAACACTTCCACAACATGTATGTTCGATGTTGCGAAAACCGGGAAAAGGGCTCAGGCATCGCGAGCCTTTGAACCCAAAAGCCCTAAAAAGGCCCGCCACTCAAATTCCCAACCCGAAGCCACGGGAGCCGTCTCTGTTTGTAAATTTATCGCACAACATTTTCGGATGTTGGAACCATTATGTACTAGTCAGCAGTTCCGCACGGGTTACAGCGAATCCTATCCATTGAGACCATCATCGCTGGCAACTGGGTCGACCCCAAACACAGAAGCTCTTCCAAGCTCCCAAAACGGAGACTTTCACAACCTTACGCTTCTACACTACTTCACGCTATAACCTACATTTTCGCCCTTGAGCCCTATACGCCCTAAACTCAACTTCGAAAGCTCCGACCCCTGCATCTGAAATCATCTAGTTTTCGGTGCAGGTCCATGAGGCCATTTGTTTTGCAACAGTGACTCGGCATCCAATGCACTCCATACTTTAGGACTTTAGGTGGGGGGGGCGGCGGTTTTCGTGTTGTGGTGTAGGAGTTAAGGATAGGATGAGGGTTTCTGGTTCAGAATCAGTGGTTTTGGGTTTGTCCTTGCAGGCTCTAGATGTCGTTGCCAGGTTGTTGGATGTGGGCGCATTAGACCCGAGATTTTGTAAGAATCATGTAATCCTAACCCTCCAGGTGCCTACTACAAAGGGCCTTAGGGGCTCTAGTACGTAGGTACCTGGAAGGTTAGGGTAACAGCTGTCTTCGGTTGTGCCAAACCGTCAAGCCGTGCCCTGCCATAGTGTCAGTTGTACTCAGCGAGATGCATGTTGGTATACATCTACACTGTAAGCCCTAAAGCCCTATAAGGCCCTAAACAACAGAGCCCTAGCCCCAAACCCTATAGAATCCTAAGCCCTAAACCCTAAGACGTAAAAACCGGAAGCTTTAGGATAATCCTCAATCAGGGCCTGTTGCATAAATGCCCAGAAGCTCCGAGAACGCACAATGCATGCTTGTACAATCTTTCTACAACGTGTATAGAACCCTACAGCAGCCAGATGCAACCGATGTAAGCCTCGCCAAGAATCTGCATTACAAAAACGGGCCTAAACCCGAACCCTAAACCTTAAACCCTAAACTATAAACCCGAACCCCTAAACCCTAAACCCGAAACCCAAAACCCGAACCTCTAAACCCTAAGCTGTTAATTTTAACCCGAACCCTAAACCCTAAACCCTGAACCCTAAGCCCTCAACCCTACACGGGTAAAGGTCTCTGGGTCCTTGAGGTGCCCGTGCAGCGTGGGGTCTTCGAGTCGCGACGCCAGCGTTTGGAAGGCTTCGCGCTTCCAAAGCCAGCGCCGGAGGCGCCGTCCGCAAAGGACGCCAAAACCCCTGAATTAAGGAACATTACCCTAAATCATTTTATGATTCCTACCTATTATAGTTTAAGGGATATTGCTTAATTAAGGAATAGGAATATACCTTAAGTCATGTTCGGGCTCCTGATTATTATAGCTTCAGATTAATTCCTTAGTCAAGGGGTTTTGGAGTCTCTGGGTCATCAAAGAGCTGTGTAATTCCCCAAAACAGGAGTCCTTCTATAAGGGAGTCGAAATCCTGCCTACCTAAGGCTCCATGTACCCATATAGTAGATACTTAAGCCTTAAAGTAGCAATATAGGGACCCCTTTTAAGCCTACGTATCTACTAACCCTAAACCCTAAACCCTAAACCCAAACCCTAAACCCTAAACCCTAAACCCTAAACCCTTTAAGCCTTAAGTATCTACTATAAAGGTACATGGAGCTTTTGGGCCTACCATCATCCCACCTTCTGAGGCCGGAGACCAGTGTGTGTTTGGGGTTTAGGGTCTCCGAATGGTTTATAGGGTTTATAGGGTTTATAGGGCTTATAGGGTTTATAGGGTTTAGGGTTTATAGGGTTTAGGGTTGTTCAGGGTTCTCTCGAAAATACCCTAACCCTCCAGGTGCCTACTTTTGTTGGGCCTTAGGGGCTCTAGTACCCTATATAGTAGGTACCTGGAAGGTTAGGGATACTTGACTCGTGCAGATGAGAGCAAGGGCGGATTCTTGCACAGCTCAAAAGCAGGTTCACCGGCTTCAGTCCTTGCAAACAGCAGGGTTTCAGTTTTAGGGTTTAGGGTTTAGGGTTTAGGGTTTAGGGTTTAGGGTTTAGGGTTTAGGGGTTTAGGGGTTTAGGGTTTAGGGTTTAGGGGTGTTGGTGATGAGGAGGTGGTGAATCAACTAGCAATTTCCTACATATTGATCATGGATCAGCCCCAGAATTTGCATGAGCATCATGATCGTGGTTACGACCAGGACCATGAGCGTCATGGTCATGGTGATGTTCCCCATCAGCACCATTTCACAAACATCATCCATGTCCTGATCCTCATCATCACCGCCATCATCATCGCCGGCACTGTCATCATAGCGGTAGTGGGGTGAGTACACTTGAACACTACTGAGCGATCACTCGCCTGGCGCAGGTGGTCGCGAGATCCCGCAAGAACCTACCAGAGACGACAACTGTGATCCGGCCGGAGCAACTATGCGGACAGACCCCTAGGGGGAGTGTAGTAAAATCATCAGCCGATTTTTTTATAGACGAGTACACATACTAGCAATCACTGGAAAGACGAAGGAGAAGCGAAGACTGGATGTAATAGTGTCCTTGATCATCCATGGGTGCTTCGTGCTCGAGAGTGGAGGTGGTGCTTCAAGAACTCCTGCGTCTAGAGAATGCCTAAGCCTAACCTATAAGCCGCAAGCCCTAAACCCTTTGGGGCGTAAGCCCTAATCCGCAGACCCTAACACCAGAATTCAAGCCCTAAAAAGCCCTAGACCCCTAACCTAAACTAACCCCAAACCCCAAAACAATCCGAGTTGAACCCTGCGACGAAGATTGAGAAAGTCCAGCCGAGGTTGCGCAGCCGCGCCCCAAGGCTAAGAGCTTGCCGAGGAGGGATTTAGGGTTTCGGGCTTGGGGCTCCGGGTGCACGGCCTTTAGGGATTTAGGGTTTTGGGGTTTAGGGCCAGTTTAGGGGTTTAGGGTTTAGGGTTTGGGGTGTAGGACCGTTTCGGGTTTGAGTTTCAAAGTTTAAAGTTTGGGGCCTGCAGGCTTAGGGGTTTAGAGTTGAGTCGGAGAAGTTGAGTCGGGTTTTGAGTTAACGGTCTAAACTGGGCTGGGCTTAGGGGCATCTCCGGTACGTTTATGGCTCCCTGTGGATGTTCCAGCCAGGAGCCGTCAACGTTTCAATACCATTATAAGGCTTAAGGATGTGCGAGTTTCGAGCTTAGGGCGTAGGGTTGAGGTAGAGGTGAAACGGCTGCAAGCCCAAAAACGTGGCACTTGCTGGGCAATGTGGGGATGTCGAAGCAACGTGTGAGACTGTGCCACAGGTGCAGGTTTTGGGCTATTGAGGTTGGCCGCCCTATACCAACTATGTCTCTTTGCCTACCCAACATTTTTGTCGGGGTCAACGATTCGGCCAAGTAAAACTGTCGTGTGCGTCCGACGCTCCATGCGAGGTGCAAACGTGTAATACAGTGTTGTCCATTGTCTGTGTTTTGGTTCGTAGCAGTCCCGCCAAATTACGCAGTAGTGGTCGTAAACAAGAATGGCAATAAGACCGTTACATCACAGTAGCAAGGGTGATAGTCAGAAAGACTAAGAACCAGTCATCCCTATTAGCCTGAGCATTTCGGACTCATATCGTTGAGGATCGGAGCTACATGCACCTGAGTGCAGCATGAGTTTCGGGCTTAAGGTTCAGGGTTTAGGGCTGTTCCCTATGATCTCATCGCGGCTTGAGCTGATGGACACCTCGAGCTCAACTTTTGAGGGGTTTCGGGTGTCGGACCTCGGGGCTTAAGCTCGGAGCCTAACCTAGACCCCCCAACTACCCTCTATTATACCCCAAATACCTACTATTAGGGACCATAAGGGCTCCATTAAAGGGCCATTGGGGGGTCCTGGTATGAGCCCCAAAAGGTTAAAGGTTACCTACTCTAAACCCTGAACCCTAAACCCTAAACCCCAAAC